GTTGCAGGATGAAATTACCTTTAAAGGGCTATTTCCTGTCTGTAATCTCTTTGAATTTTTAACTGTGGTGTTTTTTATATTTTCTTCAGACATTGGTCAAGCAGACAAAGACAAGGTCAAGCATTTTGTCAAGTAGAAAAAAGATATGAATGTAAAAGGGTGAGGGAAAAAAAAAGCAAGCCCTCTGTATAAAGCACTTCAGACTACTTATGCAGCATATTAGAGAGCAAAAGGAGCTTTCTGGCTCCTATCTGGCTGTTGTTGCAATTGTTAATGTGGTTTTGTTCCATTATTAATGACACCAGAAAAAGAAATCAGGCCTTCCACACAAAGTTGAGAGACTGTCATCTGACATCTTCCAGCAAGAAGGAAGGAAAAAATGCTTAAAATAATGGAAATAAGCAAAGGGAAGGGGAAAGGAAACTTAAAATACTGAGTATATAGCAATAAAATCTGCAGATATCTATAGCAGTGCGGGGATTGCGAGCCAAATCTCTTACAAGCCTTGTAAATCATTGCCAGAGCCTGCTAGTTTAAGGCCACTTGGTAATAAACAAAGAAAAACTCATCTATTACAGTCTGTATTGTATTGCATGATATGTCCTTGTTTCCTAGAACTGCTGTTTGACAAGCAGAGAAAAGTAAAACGAGTAGAGCAGCACTAATGGATGAAACATCTATAACCTGGAGTGGCATATCATTAGCCTCATCTGGGTGTGGTTGGACAGGACTTTAATAAAAAGCTTTGTTAGGAAAATACATCATGAATATGCTAAGGTAAGTAAAATCAGGAATAACACTCCAATCTGGCCTTCCTGTAAAGTTACCCTGAGTTAGCTACCAAATTAGCAATCCCACAGAAGAGTCAGGCAGGATGCATGCCTTTGCTCTCACCTGGCAGAAACAGTTCCATTGCTGAAGCCTTGCACTGATGCCCAAGCACCAAAGCCCACGACCTACACACCAGCTTATCCACAGCACATCCTCTTCATATTCCATCCCAACAGCAGGAGATATTTGCTGAGGCTCATGCCCCATTGCACTGGGGGTGCTGAGAGGCAGGTAGAGACTGAGGGAACTCAGAGGGGTCAAGCATCAAACTTAGACTGGCTGCTAATCAATTATACAGCTATCATCAGTACAAGACAAAATGACCTCAGGTTGTGCCAGGGGAGGTCTAGACTGGATATTAGCAAAAATTGCTTCTCTGAAAGGGCTGTCAAGCTTTGGAACAGGCTGCCCGGGAAAATGGTGGAGTCACCATCTCTGTGGGTATTTAAAAGACTGTAGATGTGGTGTTTAGGGACATGTTTGGTTTAGTGGTGGACTTGGCAGTGCTGGGATAACAGTCAAGCTCGATGAACTCAGAGATTTCTTCCAACCTAAATGATTCTGATTCCTTGAAGCCAAGTGATTCTCTCTGTAGTCACTTGTTGATGGGGCTGCACCTCATGGTCCCCAGCACCAGCCCCCACGTTGCAGTTTGTTATGGCCACACTCCTCCACAGGCTGCTAGCAAGAAGCCTGCCCTGAAAATACCCCCTGCCCTCCGCTGCTCCGCTTCCCCGCCACTGGGCTCACACCCTGCCCAAAGCACTCACCCATTGCCACCATTTCACACGGTGAAACGGTGTATTTCTGTTTAAGAGAAGCCTTATCTCTTTCAGAGGGAATGTTTGCACCACAGAGGAAAGGAGCACTGTTTCCAATGGACTGTCAAGGAGAAAGGAACCAGCCAGCTTTCAAATAAATATGGTTTATAATAGCTTGATTAAATGCTTTCTTAATGCTGGGCATTTTGTAATGTCACTGTATTTCTTGATGTGCAGTTTATCTCGGAAAAAACCAACCCCTAGATATTTTATAGTTTTCCCTTTAAAAAGAAGGAATCTAAAAGCTCTTTACTGGTAATTATTGATGCCAAACACAAACACTCATTTCTTATCCCAGGACTGAACATTTGACCTATACTGCAGAGCTAAAATTCAACATTTGAGAAGAGCTCCAGATGCAGATTTCGATTTCATGACTCACATCTGTCTTTCCAATAGGGTGGATTAAATCCATGCAACCAGTTTGATACATTTCAAATAGGTGAAGTTCAATTCATTTTATATGAGCAGATGCCTCATATGTTGTGCTGCCAAAATAGGTCACTGGGCCAAAAGCTCAAAAATAATTTAAATAGAGGTTGAAAGAAATGAAAAAGGAAAATCACATTAAGTCACATCACCATGAGACCTTATTTAATGCTTTGAAGCACTTCCATAAAGTGATGGGATCAGGAAGAAGCTTTGCCAGTGGGAATCTCTTCCAGGGGAAGGGCTACACACTTTTTAATGTAATTTCATTTTCAGCAGTGACACCTGGGCATGATGTTGGCCTGATGAAGCAGAGGGGATTTGGCAAAGCACAGGAGCAGCTCAGACAGATCACAGAAGCTTCTTCAAATGCTTCTTGGGCTCTGGCGGGCATGGTGCTGTGACCACTTCCTCGGGGAACCTATTCCAGCACCCAACCACTCTCTGGGTGAAGAACCTTTTTTTAATATCCAAACTATACCTCTCCTGACAGAACTTCAAGCCATTCCCTCGGGTCTTGCTTTTGGTCACCACAGAGAAGAGATCAGTGTCTGCCCTTCTTCACCCCCTCACAAGGAAGTTGTAGACTGCAATGAGGTCTCCCTTCACTCTCCTCCAGGCTGAACAGACCAAGTGCCCTCAGCTGTTACGCATACAGCTTCCCCTCAAGGCCCTTCACCATCTTCACTGCCCTCCTATGGACGCTCTCCAATAGCTTGATATCTTTCTTATATTGCAGTGACTAAAACTGCACATCATATTCAAGGTGAGGCCGCACAAGAGTAGAGCAGAGCGGGACAATCACCTCCTTCAACTGGCTGGCGATGCTTTGCTTGATGCCAGATGGGGTGGAAGGTAAGCAATTCATAGTCTGCCTCTGAAGATTAAGTGCAAATGCACTTTCGTGCAACCCCAGCACCATGGTAGGCTGAAAAACCTATGTGAGATTACATATTTGAGCAGTACGTCCTCACTGGCCTCTCTCCCCCAGTCCCTTTATCTGACTCGCATTGCTGAAGCTCCAAGGGAGACACCAAAATTTGGGGAAGCTGGAGATTTTATTGCACCTGAATAAAATCTGGGCCCTGGAGGCCATGCAGATTGCACCCTCACTTAAGTCCTAGAAGTCCCCTTTAAGGTGTGCAAGAAGGAAGCTGTAATGCCATAGGGAGGTTTTCACCTGGCTGCACATGACAGCATCACACTTGGAAAGCCCCAGTGGGAGCGGGTCCCCCACAGCTGATCCCTGTGCAAGCCCAGCCCTACTCCTGCTCAGCCCCCTGCCAAGAGCTGTGCTTCAGCCACCCAGACCCCCATGGGACTCACCTGTCATCCTCACAGACAACCAGTACCAGGAAAACCTAAACTAGTCCATACAGTGCAGCAGGAGATGTGACTGCCCAGCACAGAGAGCTCTGGCAGATCCCAGCTGTACCTCTTCACCTGGGGGATTGACCTTTTCTCCCACCCACCCTGAGGAGCCATTGCTGACCAGCACACTGAAGTGTGTCTCTTTCATCCACAATCTAAGAAAGAGAACTTGAGGAAAAGGAAATGTGAGGAAGAGGAGGATGGAAGACCTGCAAAAGGGCCGTTCTGGTGTGTAACTCTTTCCCTGGTCAGAGGAGCGGCTCTCCTGGGGATGTATATGGCTTCTGGCAGCCATATATAAGGTTGCCTCTGAGCAAGGATGAATTTCACGATTGGGACACTCTCACGTTTTCTAATCACGCTTCCCACTAACTCACACTGTCCTGTGCTTTTCTGAAAGAAGGACAAGGGAGTCTGGGAACCTTCGCCTGATGACAATGAAGGGAGAGAGAGCACCTGCACATGTGCTGGGTACGATAGGATGGGAACGAGTCTTATTTTCCAGCGTGGTCATCAAAGATGACTCCTGGAGGCAGAGATGCTGATGCCCAGTCCCACCGTCTTCCCTGCAAGATCACCAGGCTCTTCAGGGCAATAAAGTTACTTTTAACACCTCGAAGAGAAATTTCCCGCTCAGATGCACAGTCATACCTAAAAGCAGCCTCCT